CACGTGTCGTACCTTAGGTACAAATTGAGGACACGAACTGGTACTGAGAATTTCCTAATTGGATAAAAGTATAACTCGTTGCGTAAGTTTTTTTGGTGACTGGCTTCTCGATATAGCCAAATGTGGCTGTCAAATAATCTCTCAAGCTTTCAAGTTCGATTCCTATTTTTTTTGGGGAAAAGCCGGTCAATGACCAAACGTATCACCTATCACCTGATGGTTAACGATTTCATTTACCTTTACGTAAGTAGTAACGGAAGTTTTACCTTTACTAAATAAGTTCTTAAGTAGATAAATACATTATCGGATATCGAGTAACGAGAATAAGTTTTGTTGAAGTTGGCTACCTATTGACTACTCTTGGAGTAATCTTGCCAAGCCTACATCTATCTAGCTAGCTATCTAGCTCATTCTTTGTACCAGTATCCTAGAAGATTGATTTCAAAGTAATACGAGAAAACCTTTGTCAATGCCGTTCACTTACGAGTTATACCCGTAGGTAGAGATGCGATCAAAATTGTATAAGTACGTATCTTGTTGCGGGCTCCGTTTGTGTACGAAATCTTTCGGATAACCTCGAAATTATTAATATGTGTTATAAATAGGGGTTTCTACTAAGAGTCACACGTACTTCTGATATTCTTAAAGTCAGTGTAGGTTCTGATTTAAAATCATAAGGTCGAATATTACTTCTGAGGTAGCCAAGGAAATGATCTTCGAGTCGAAAGCCAAATAATTTTATATTCAGCGAAGTGTGTAATCCTTTTACTTAGAAAACTATACATACATAATATCACGTCTTTTATCCCTGAAGGGGCAGACTGAGGTGCACATCACGGCAATTAAAGCCCCTGTACAATGTAACACCAACTTTTCACTATTTATGTTATGACTCCCATGTAATAGGGGGTGAGTCTATTGCCACATACCGAGCACGGTTCCAGACTCCGTGCTACTACTGAGAATTTTTAAAATACCCAACAATCCTTTGCTCAAGCCGGGAATCAAATCTGAGACCCCTTGCCAAAAGAAGACAGAAATCGTGTTACATTTCCAGTTCTATAAGGCGTCGCAAGCGTAACTACCAATTCAGCCTCAGGTTAAATACATGACGAAAGACTTCGATGTTTGATTATATTATGGACTGCCTTGTCGGCCGAGTGGTCGCAAGTGCGACTGCCGGGCAAAGAGTCTCGGGTTCGATTCCCGGGTCGGGCAAAGTATTACTGGATTTTTTAAAAATTCTCAGTAGTAGCACGGAGTCTGTAACTGTGCTCTGTACCCCTTTCAGGATAAAAGGCGTGATGTTATGTTATGAGAGTCATGATATAACCCTAAAGTAACGGAAGCTGTTGACAAAGATAGTCCAAAAAAGAAAATATAGAAAGATAAAAAGAAATCTGTGATAAATATCTCCTTTACTCGCATACGTAAGATATGATAAGGTTGACGTCATGAACGCTTGTGTCAAGATTTCCTCGAGATTAACATAATCTGCAATAGTGACGTGTGCTGCAGATAATTTATGTTAATCTATGTACAGATATATAAAACTGGAATGTTTGTTTGTAAAATAAAAATAACCGCTTTTTACTACATGCATACGATACACATACCAAAATATATTTTTTTACAATTTATGTCTGTCTGTTTGTTTATACGCATTATATGGCTAATCTCAGGAATGAATGAACCGATTTTGCATGACTTTTATCGATAGGTAGCTGATTTACTAAGGAATAACGTAGGCTACTTTCATTTTAGAAAATTGAAAGAATAAAAGTTAACATGGTCATATCCTAAGTGGACGAAGTCGCGGGAATCAGCGAGTAGAAATTATATCCTTAGATTTTATCTCCTTAGACAACAAGTACACGGATTGTTTAGGTGGATCTCTGTTGATTTGTCACAAGTTTTTTTTAACCGACTTCAAAAAAAGAAAGGAGGTTTTTAGTTTGGTCTGTATAATTATATGTATGTATGTTTGTCTGCCTCGTTCCTCACCTCGCGACCTCGCAAGGGGTCCCGGGTTCGATTCCCGGGTCGGGTAAACTACTAATGGGTTTTAAAAATAAATCTCAGTAGTAGCACGGAGTCTGGAAATGTGCCCGGTATATGGCAATAGGCTCACCCCCTATTACATGGGTCTCATAAGATAAATAGTGAAAAGTGGGTGTTACTTCTGTGCACCTCTGCCTACCCTTTCGGGGATAAAATGCGTGATGTTATGTAATGTATATTTGCGCGCAATTATCTCGTGATTAGCTGAACTGATTTTGATACGGTTTTCAGAAAAGCGTTGGTTACACTTAGGAGAAGGTTTTAGTATGTTACCGACCTGAAAAAAGAGGGGATTGAAGTCGGTTTTTTAAGCGTAGTTTATAACAGAATTATCTTTTTAATGGGTCGACGTTTGGCCACTATCTCGCCTTGTAAGCGATGATGCTGCCTACGATGGAGCAGTGAAAGTATTGAAAATGAGAGCTTGAAATGAATTCTACTTACTTTTAAACTTCGTACTATTTGGTATTTTTTCAAAATAAGAATTAAATATACAGAGTGCTGCCATCGAATTATAAGAAACTGAGACTGGAACTATCACAAGCATTGTAAGCCTACAGAGTTATTATAATATTAAAAAAATACAACCTATTTATGTATCATTCAGCCAATCACAACTTACAAGAAAAAATGTAATCTGATCACTATTAAAAAAAAAAATTAGAAACAAAAATATCTTTCAATTTACCTAGTTCACCTCAATTTATTTGGCCTCTATTTTATATGCCTTCTGTCAATCGGACCCGAGCAGTTCCTAAGAACTCCCCGAAGTACGTAACGTAATGGATTTGGTAAAATAATACGAGAATTCGTGTGTACTCTTTACATAGAAAGGGTTAGGAAAAGGTCTATTTTTTGAGGTTCGTTTAAAAATGTTATTGTTTATTATAGACATAGGTATAAAGTTCAGTTTTATTTGCTTTTTTGGAAAAAAAAATGTTAAAGAGGTTGGTTGGAGAGTTTAATAGCTTTATTCTTCTTTCTTTGTTTCGCATTGTGGGGACCGATTTTAAAGGCAAATCTATTCAGTTCAGTTTTAATATGGATACAGTTCTGTTATGAAAACTTTCAATATCTAATATTTGACTGCTTTGAAAATCGAGTCCAATAGGTAGACTCTTATGTTCTTGTCTAGCTCTAGTCTGTTTGAGATAAATACATTTCATATGAAACAATTTTTAGTAGAGTTAACCAAAGGTATAAAATAAATACTAGCGATTTAAATATAAATGCATCATTTCGTCCGAATTTATTTTACATAAGGACATGAACTATAAGTTTCCATTTTCCATTACATTACCTGTACCAAAAATAATTCGGTAAATCTTGCAGGTTTAGGCTGAATATCTGAATATCTTTCATCTGATATGTATCGATTTTCACTTTGTCTCTATATCGGCGGACAAATTGCAAATCATAACAGAATCTATGTTTTTGATACGGCTCGGTATCGAATAGATTTGAATCAGACGTCGCTTGGTATAATAAATAAATAATATAATGCTGGTTGTTTCTTAAAGGGTATGCAGGATAGGGAAGTAGAAACATTGAATACAGTTTCTTAAATGCATTTTTGATGATTATGAATTTTGATAAATACAAGTTTGAAAGTAAATACGTAGACTATCGGTTGTTTAAGTGACCTAGTTGCTTGAAGTTTGATCATCCATTGAATTCACTTAACACTTTAAAAACACACAAAGCCTTTCACTCAAATGATTAGAAGATTCAATTTTCTGTTATTTGTAAGGAACAAACCTGTTCATATGTTATCATTACACCTTGACCTTTAATTTGTTTTGATGTTTGAAATCCAAAATATATTTATACTTTTGCGGACCAATCGCAAGTGACCTATGTTATTCAAATGTCAATGTCAGTTTGCAATCTCGATATATTATGTAAATTAACAAACCAGTTCTAATCACGGGACATAACATTGAAGTAATATACAAACAATGTACTAAGTACTTTACACTAACGCGAAACGTTTACGTTCATTAAACTTAATTTTAAAATCTCCATTCTTCGTTCAGATTTATCATATTTTGCTACAAGCGAAAAGAAACAAGAATTTTATTCTAATTAGTCCACTTCATGAATTTTAAATAAGTTAAAAATGTATACGAATGTATGTAAAAACAAACTCCAAAGTCCATTTCCTTTTGTACGAATGCCCCAACATTTCCACTCGATGTGATATTATTATTTACGGCGCCTGCTCGCGTGTAAGGAATAATAATGTTCTGTTGTAATAATTTTACCGAGGACACATTTATCATTGTTTTATTTACTATTCTAGGTATCAAGAGGCTATTTTGGAACAATAAATACCTGTTTTCGTAATGCCAGTTAATTTCCACCGTATTTTAATCTAATTAGATTCGTAATTAACCGAAGTTTAAGATCGCATTTTGGTTACACCATTATTACACAAAGTTCCCTGGTTTTAATGAGTGGAATTGACGATTAAAGTATTTTACCGCCATTTAAATTCCATCCTCAATGTTCGATAGGGTCGATCTCATCGATAAACATTTTTAATTATAACAAGACTCTCCCTAATTTTACTCGAGGGAAAAGTAGGAAGGGTTTTCATTGAAACGTCAAGCGAAATTGATGGGCTCGCCGTGTGCCGTGACCAATAGTCGTGGGGCGTTTGTATCGTTGGGTCGCGTCAGTCGAACGTCCGGAGTCAGTGTGGCCACACGCTTGTTTACTGTGGACACGTCCTGTCACGCGGTCACCACGTGGACGTCGCACGTGACATACAAACTTTTAATAAAAAAAAAATTGAACGCATATCCGAGCTTCGTGTTGAGAATTTTTCATTTGTCAATTTTGGCGCGTAAAATTTGATCTGTCAAAGTGAAAGCTAGTGAAGTTGAGTAGAGTCATGCGAACGACTGTGTTAGTTTTTAGTTCGTAGTTTTTGAGTAATGAACAAGATGTGTGGTGTTTGGTACCTCGTCCTCGGTTTCCTGGCGCTCCCGGGCCCTTCCTGCAGCAACTCAGATAATTTAGGTTCGTGTTAGATTTATTACTATCATAATTGCCGGAGTATCCGCAGCTTGTGGCTAATGGCGCTTAACTTAATAATACTCGTTGACAACGCTTTAATGCTTTCAGATATGTTTGTTTGGAATATTAGCGCTATCACGTTTTGTTAATTGCCGATTTGAAGTGCTTACATTATTTTGTAAGAATATTTATTTTTACTTTTACGTCCTTGCTTACTTAGATATGATTTTGGAGCTTATATCATATTTAAAATATTTATGTTAATTAGAATCTGGCCAGATAAGTACACATACTTTATCTCTTTAATAAAATCAAGTGGGAGGTAATTAGTATTTGATGCGAATATAGGCTTTAAAGTGCTCAGAATAAAAGTTAAAATTGCTTGATACTTGTGAGTTTTAAAGTTTTTGTTTATGTTCAAAGGGGATATTTTGTTATCTAATGCTCATTATAGAAGGCTGGTGTTAGGTAAGCTTGGTACTTATCTAACAACCTAATTAGAATTGTAGTTTACATTGTAGCGAAGCGTTTGGTTACAATTATTTCTACAAAACTCGGTTAAATATTTAAACAATCTGTTTGCTTTGTGAATGTTTCAGTAACTTATTCGTGTTCATCTGTAATTTTATTTAAATCTTTGCTACGCTACAAGATAAATATAATAAACTCAGGTTTTGCATGTTAAGTAACTACACGAATTTAAGGATAATAGTCTGAGAGACAATGTTCAGCATAAAAATGAGACTATATCCACATAGTAAATTAAACAAATATGTGTTTTAATTAAAACAGCTACCATAATTCTAGCAACCCTAGCCTAACATATGCTCCGCTATTTTAGCTCAGTTAACAACATCGTGTTTTGGCAACAGAAATTACGCAAACAACCTCACTGGCGCGAATTAAAACGTTTGCCAGTAATTCGTAGCAAAGCCTTTGGATAATCACAACATTTGCTACGAGCGTAGCGCTACGAATCTTTACTACGGCGTAGCGTTCAATTGGGCGGCATGCGAGTTACGATCTTGCATAATACTTAGTTCCATTAACTCAAGTGGAGTTCCAGTTTGGAACTCAATTAAACTTTTCTTCTATTATGTTAATGAAGCACGCATACTAAAAAAGTGGCGAGTTCCTTCTCCAAAGTTAATAAATTGTAAGATAAGACGTTTTATTCTGTTCCAATGCTAATTGTAAGGAATATGTTGCATTTTTATGAGCGAGACGTATAATGAGAATATACCTTTAGCATTCAAAATGGTTTTTGTGGAACGTTCCTTTTGAAATCAATCTTGTCACAACGTGAATTATATTAAAATTAATTGAGTGATCGACTTGTTTTTTTATTTGAGACGGTGTTAATATTCCTTTTGATAGAATATTCCAGATTGGATTGTCTGATAATAAGTTATTGATTTCAATCGAGTGGTGTCGACGTGATCTCTTCTTGTTGTTTAAATGTAGGTAGATTATATTTCAATGATTTTATCTGAGAGAGTTGGACTCGTGCTTCCTAGCACAGTTAACTTCAGGCTTTAGTCAACTGACTCACCTGGCAATTGATGTACTTTTAATAATTTCTGAAGCTATTTAACTTGATGAGTCTTATTAGTACTCTGTGGTAGACAATTGGTAAATAAGACTAGTATTCACATTATTAGTGGGAGATTACTCTCAGGCCTAAAAACTAGGATAATAATTGATCACATTACATAATGATCATTAAAATCACTTCCATACATTTAACGAGATTTCCAAACTGTACAGAGAACAGTGTAGTCATTAAAGCGTTGTTTCCTTTGAAATTGATAGGTTCTATAAAGTTGAGGCCATACTGGCCTTTGGTGAAGGCTGCCTAACAAAGCTTTGATGTTGCCAACAATATAAACACGTACGTTGTTGTGAATGTTCATGAATTGCCAATTAACGCTCCGACCCGTTCTTTTGTTTAATAAACAATTATTCCGATGCTTAACTTAAATGTTCAAAATCAATTGTTAGCAGAAACATTGAATGTTCTGATGGAATTTATTGAAATGTTTTATTCTATTGTGTGTTGTTCTTGAGGTGAGCGCTAATTTAAATTGCTTTTTCGTTGTTTCTAGAAAGGTACGTGAGTGAGCCCTCTAGAGTTATTGTTTTGTTTCTAATTTCCGTCTTGTTTTGTTTGCTATTGTTTGTTCTAACAAGCCTATCATTGGATACACAGACCATCCAATAACCGGATTGCTACTCACCGGTCTGTCAGCGAATTCCGAGAACTGAGAACGCGATTCTTGTTTTGATGTCGTAAAATGCCTTTTGTACATAAAACAAAACTTTGTATTATATATTTAACAACTCATGCAATTATATACTTTGTTATAAACAGAAAGAGTCCAAATCTTTTTAGCAAATGGATCTACATTAAACTTTTTATTTTCGTAACTTCTTAGCCCTTTTTTCTCTTTGACCTTTACTAGATTGGATTCTTAGCTAAATTCAGCTAACTACCAGTAAGACGTAACGACAGTTTTAAGCGCTTGTATCTACAAATTGCTCGTCATGTTAAAGCTGAGTACCCATCAACAGACCGACCATGTTAAGTGTAGATTAGCCTTAGAATCACTTGTCTTAAGTTTCTTATCCAATGTCTCATTGACCATGCTCTCTGTGTTAACTTATTATTCAACTAGCTAAAGTTGACTGCAACTTCGTCTGCTTGAAATAGTGACATGGCAGTTTTTTTCGATAAAATCAGTATATGTTGTTCAGTAAAGATGTAGCTTTGTTTCAATTCAGCTTTAGTTCGATAGTTTTTGTGTACGAAAATACATACATACAAAAACACAAATGTTTCCTTTTTATAATATCAGTATAAAAGTGTGGAATAAAATATTTCTATAAAGTTAAGATTGCAATGACCGTATGTATGGTAGAGGTTCATTGTTTAGAAACTCTGAACTTTCTTTTGGCTTTTAAAAACTTCAGCGAGAAAATACACTTAAGATTTTCCTCTCATTTTGAGTTTCTGTTAACTTTAAACGCAAGCCCAAGAGGCCAGTAACATATCTTTGCATTTTACTGAGAAAAACTTTTCAGTAATGTATTTACTGCTTGTTTGCACTTTATTTTTCTAAAATAAAAAATGCATTTTGTTGCTTTTCTGGTTTACATTTGTACTACAGTGTATAATGGTTTTTGTACGCTTATATGTAGATTTTTACTTCTAAATTTTTAAAGACAATTGTCACTAATGCAACCGACCTGTTTTTATTTACATATCCAACCTATCATAACGCATTTAAATAAAATAAAATAGTGATTTTCCGTTGATTAACAAGTACAAGTATGTTCCAGTCATAAATGTTCAAGTGAACAAATATCCGCAGTTGCTCATAAAAATATTTTCTACTACCTGCACTTACTGCAGAGCAGAGCAAAATTCGCAATAAATATCATCTACCATCCGTCCTGAATAGAATGCCCCAATTCGACATCAATCTAAAAAATTGCTCACTGAACGATCTCCAAACCGGACTGAGACTGCGCCCAACACAATTTGTCCGGTTAATTTAGCTTTACAATGATGAAAATGTAAATGTAAGTGCTCACTGGCTAAAGCCCCGTTAATTGATGAATTTCACATAAGCGGACAAAGGTTATGCGTGATACCCGGAGCCTCGCCCACTCGTAAATTAATTAAAAACGTGACAACCGCGAATTTAGCCCTTTTCATGCCGTGACTGACTCGAGTAACGAAACAATGGAAGTAATGTGCTGGGGGCAAAGTTTAGCATGATTTTAGTTGTGATAATGTTCGACGTGAACATTTTGTGCGAAGGTTATGACGTGTTTTTGCTCTGTGCAGATAAAAAGGGTTATGAGTTTGCAGTGAGTGTCTGGTTCAAGGTCGTTCTGTTGATATTTTATAGAAATTGTGTCTAATGCATTATAATTTGCAGACTTCAAAATTATTCACTAAATAGTGTCTGATAAATAAATAATTATTTTGTTGTCATGTTTCTATTTTTGACGTAATATGAAAGACAAAAATCGTAGTGGTTCATTTATATTTCGTGCATGCTCCATACTTATTTAAAAAAACAAAAAATTAACTTACGAACAGCAATAAATAGACGAAACTTATTTAGTAATGACCATCAATCATATGTAAACAACCCTAACCATCCTATGATTATACTTTACCCCTGTTAGCAACGCACATGGTCACGCGCAATAATCAAATACGAATTTAATGAGTCAAAAATGAATGGCGTTATTGAATGTATAGTTCTCTCTCTTTCTCTCTCTCTCTCTCATCTAGAAATTATAATGAGTCTGTATAATAACTACCGCGAAATATATTAAATAAAAAAAATCGACTTATGTCCAAATACTCAAAGGTCACCTAATTATAAGACGTGCTTAAAAATGACAGATGTCGATATTTAACTATAACTTCAAATATGTGACCGTTCAGTATTCGGGCGTTACGTGATAATATATTCGAGAAAAATCCTACTAGTTTCAAGTCACACCGGGACTTGCGCTGCGTGCGCTGGACGATTTATTATGGAGTATGTCAAAAAGGGATAGCAATACACCTTGTATTGCTCTGTTTCTTTCTAACATGTAAGATAGTAATGGTAGATCATTAATAGATATAACAGTAGGCCTACTGTTTCTAATTACAAACAGGTCACTGTGGGCAGATTTTATGCCCGATTATTTGGCCTTTTTTTTAGATTTATGTCCTTTGGGGCTCGTGTGGGTTAAATTAAAAGATCTGGCTTCTATTTACGGTTTACTTTGTGCCACCAAAAAGTATCTTATTTATTTTTACCAGATGTATTATGATCGAATAGAAGCTATCTTAGTATTGTAAAAGGTTTGCAATGAAAAATAAATAAAATAATATTAATTATTTACTTGTGACGTTTTCTGAGTTATATTTTATTGTTTCTAAAGCTAAGACCTCACAACACGATCTTCTCCCGCGATTGCGAAATGGAGATTTATAT